TGTTAGTCATTATTGTTATTTTATATGATTATCATGGTGGAAATAGCAAATTAACATGGTGGAAATAGTAGATCCCTAAATATATATTTCGATTACAGGGCAAAAAGTAGTTTGACTAGTAATTTAATTTCGTTTTATGCTAATTTCTCTGTTTATAGTTCTACTGATTTATTGATTTATTGAATACTGTTGAAGGATATAAAAATAAGAATGGTAATTTATATGAAGCGGATTTTCTGAAGACTTCATCTTAGATTACAAGCAATTGGGTGAAGTTGACGATATATTGGCTCGTGAATCTATCGATTACATTGAAGACAGTATGCATACAATTCATAAGATTAAGAAGAATAATAGTAATGATATTTATGCATCAAAATATTTCGATATGAGTAAAATTAATTTAAAAACTATTCCTTTAGATGCAGATAATTTTGTTGCTATACGTGATCAACCGATGTTTGGTAAACACTATCACACGAACTCAAATTTGACTATTGTTGCTACCATGTTAGAAAGATATTTGGAAGTCAGGGGTACAATATTACCTGTTCAATGGAAAGCAGTTTATAACTCCATTCGTGATAAATTTAAACAAACATATATGGATGAAAGTAGAATTAAGAAGATAGATAATGTTTGCCTCGCAAATATAGTACCTATGCCATTTTGGTAGCAGAATCCAAGATTACATTGTCTATAGGAATTGCTTTCAGCAGATTTCGAATGCCCTTTATAGTGCCTATGCCTTGACGATAGCAGGTTCCAAAATTATTTTGTCCTATGGAATTGCCTATTTCAAATACCACTCAAATGCCCTTTTTTTTTTTAATACATTTTAGTGCCTATTCCTTATTCATAGCAGTATCCAAGATTACATTGTCCTTGGGAATTACCGCCTTCAGTAGATTTTAAATACGTTTCAAATTTAAGTTTTTTATTCATTGTAAAATGAATAAAAACAAGTATTTTGCAACTGCTTGATCTAATTTTAATAAAGTTCTTGGACGAATTTAACGCACTAGAAGAGTGTAATTTTGATAAGGAATATATGCACATGTTTATGTTACTTCAGTTAATTATGTTGTAACGATAATCGTGCCATTAATATTTGGTTTTTATAAGAAATTTGTTTGTATAAAAAAACTACATTTATATTTTCTTTGACATAAGTATTGTATTTAATAAAATGTATTTATTTTGGCTATTTTTCTAAATATTTTATTTTATTATGTTAATTTCCGGAACAGAATGGTGTAACTTAAGTCCAGACAATAAATAAGAAAAATCCCGTATGGGTCAACTTAGCAAGGTAATGAAAATGTCTGAATAGAATCATAAACCTTCTATTATAGCATATTGTATACAGTAACATACAGTTGATTTCGCGCAACTAAATTAATTCAATAGGTTAAAAATAAAAATAAAAATTCGACGACATTATGTATTATGTAGTTTATTGCTTTAGTAATGACAGAAAAATGGCGCCGTAACTAACAATAGTATAATTAGCAAAATAAGGCATGTTTTTTTAAATTATAAGAAATGACCCTTGTATGGGTTCTTTTGCAGTATTGGAAGCAAATTTTGTTCAAAATTATTTTGGTAAATAATATCAAATTTGTCAAGAACTAAACAGAAATTATTAAAGAAAATATGGGGGTGAGTCAATAGAAATCAAGCAAATTGTTTTTATTGAAATTTTTTTGAAACAACAATAACTTAATCAAATTTAATAAAAAATTTTTTAAATGAATTCTACAAACTTTTATTTATTTTAAAAAAAATTTTTATTAAATTTGATAAAGTTTTTGTTGAAAGATTTTTGTTTAAAGTTTCAAAAAAATTTACTTAGAAAAAATTTACTTGATTTCTATTGACTCAACCCCATATATTTATAACACTACCCAACCCTAACACGAACCCTAACTCTAACCCTAACCTTAACCTCTCTGGTTATTAAATTTGAAATTTATTTAAAAAATTCTGTATCCACTTAAATTCTGTCATAGCAAATAATAATAAACCTTAGTTATCTATTTTGCAGAAGCAAAATAATAGAATTAGTGTTTTGGAACAATAAAAAATAAATATTGAACAACGTAATTGAAATAGATAGAAAAAAAAGGAGAGATGCAGAAAAGTGAGCAACACGGTTTTGCACATAGACACAATGCAAATCATTGAAGAACAAGAAATACATATTGAATGAAAAGGCAAAAGAAAATAGACGCAAAGATTTTTTTACTATCTAAAGTTTTTTTTTATTGATAATAATGACTCATCGTGATTTAATTTGTACGCGAACACTTGTTTATGCAATTTTGTTGAATTTTGTTGGCTCCGTAATTATTAATATAAAATTTCACTTAATTATTATTAAAACTACGCAGAGCTAGTTTAAGCCTTCAAATAAAAAAAAAAAAAAAGATTAATGAATGTCGCGGATCATAATGAAATCGGATTAAAATGAAATGAGGATTTCTATTTAATCCTCTAAAACCCACTATTACGCGAATGCAATAAATGTTGGGTTTATGCGCAGATTATGCAATTGCAGATATGCACTAGCCCTACTCTAACCCTAACCCTAAAAAATGCACCTCAAAAATTCTTATTTTCAGCGGCTATGTCTATTTTCTGCATTGTACAATATTCCATTTTGATCCGATTTCATTTAATCCGTCACAATGAATAACTTACACCTGATTCTATTTTATACTATTTTTAAAATATTTAATTATTTATGAGGATAATAAAATTTTTATTAAATGTGAATATAAAATTAATTAATAAAATTGAGTTCTAACAATCAGTAAATGAATTTTTTAAACTTTCGTTTTCAAATCAATAACTTAACGAATTCTTTTGACCGTTTTTTCTATACTATCATCTTTCTCATGAGGACGTTTTTCATTAATGTTAAAATTCTCATGACTTGTTTGATTATGTAATATTTCAGAATTCATTTGCATATTTTCAATATCAGTGTCTATTTTCATCTTTTCAACATTAGCTTCCTTTATATTTTCGAAATCAATATTGCCTGACTTACTATCAATAATCTTGCACTTATTTAATTTGTTTATACAACTAATAAATTTACTACTATAAGCTGATTTGTTATCAATAAATGGTTTATTTTCTATCACCATTTTATTATTTGATTCTATAAATTCTGATAAAACTTTACTATCATTTTTCCAGTCCATGACGATTTTATATATCTCTGAAGCTGACGGTCGTTTTTCTGGATCATTATCCCAACACTTTCTTAAAAGCTCAGTATAACGTAGTGGAGTACCTTCTAGAATATTTGGTCTTAATCCTTCGCAAATTTCTAAAGCTAGTACTAATCTATCGCATTCCTCATACTCAGATTCTGAAAATACAACTCTTCCTGAAGAAATTTCCCACATAATCATTCCAAATGAATAAATATCCGATGCCTTAGAAAATGATTTTCCACGTAAAATCTCGGGAGCTATGTATTGCATAACTCCATAAATTCCTCCTGAATTTGAATCTAATGTTTTATTAACAGCTGTTGCAAATCCCAAATCACCAATATAAGCATTATATAAATCATCTTGTAAAATGTTTCCACTATGTAAATCACGATGAATTATATCATGTGAATGAATCAATTTAAGATCCAATGCAATGTAAGATATTAAATCTAATTTTTTATCCCATTTCATTTGAGCAACTTTGTAAAGATTTTGGCGCAAAGAACCTAGATATGCATATTGCATAACTATAATATACTCCCCTGTGTCTTCATCTTTTGTTATGCCATGACATTGTAAAAATGTAGGATTTTTAGATCCGATATTTGAATATGCAATTAACTTAAAATTACAATTATTAAATTAATAAAAGTATTTATTCAGTATAAATTTAATAAAATTATTGTTAATAAAAGTATTTATACAGTATAAATTTAATAAAATTATTGTTATCAAATATTTACCTCATTTATAAGATTTTTATAAATATTCTCTGATTCATTAAAAATTTTAAGTGCAACTGTCAATGTTTGTTTATTATTTTTAATTAATTGCGTCCACCAAGCAGAATAAACAGTTGCAAATCCTCCTTTTCCTATCTCTTGTATAAATTCTAATTCGCTAAACGGAATCCATGATATTGATAAATTATCTTTAAATAATGATTTTTTAAGTAAACTATCAAGATTTTTGTAATTAATTTCTTTTTGATCTCTGTTACTTTTCATTTTTTGCAGCCATTCATTAGCCTTTTCACGATTAGTTGATGTTCCAATACCATTTCTATAACATAATCCAACTTCAAATTGTCCCTTGTAATAACCATTTTCAGCAGATTTCAAAAACCACTCAAATGCCTTTTTTTCATCCTTTATAGTGCCTATGCCTTGACGATAGCAGAGTCCAAGATTACATTGTACTAAGGAATGGCCGCCTTCAGCAGATTTCAAATACCACTCAAATGCCATTTTTTCATCCTTTATAGTGCCTATGCCTTGATGATAGCAGTATCCAAGATTACTTTGTCCATCGAAATTGCCGCCTTCAGCAGATTTCAAATACCACTCAAATGCCTTTTTTCATCCTTTATAGTGCCTATTCCTTTTTCATAGCAGTATCCAAGATTATTTTGTCCTAAGGAATCGCCGCCTTCAGCAGATTTCAAATACCACTCAAATGCCTTTTTTTCATCCTTTATAGTGCCTATTCCTTTTTCATGGCAGTATCCAAGATTACATTGTCCTAAGGAATTTCCGCCTTCAGCAGATTTCAAATACCACTCGAATGCCTTTTTTTCATCCTTTATAGTGCCTATGCCATTTTGATAGCAGGTTCCAAGATTATTTTGTCCTAAGGAATTGCCGCTTTCAGCAGATTTCAAATACCACTCAAATGCCTTTTTTTCATCCTTTATAGTGCCTATGCCATTTTGATAGCAGAATCCAAGATTATTTTGTCCTAAGGAATCGCCGCCTTCAGCAGATTTCAAATACCACTCAAATGCCTTTTTTTCATCC